GACGGTAAAAAAACAATGGTGCATTGAATCAAAAATAATTTACAGCGTCAACTCAAAAGCTTCCATGCGAAGGTTTGGAAAATGTTGGCAGTTTTGCACAACTTAAATTTCCGTGCATCTTTCCACTGAGCGTGCACTCCAAATATATAAGGCGTTGCAAACATTGTGTGTTCCCTCATAATAGACACTTGTAATTATTTCATTGCGCTTGTAAATGTGGGTTTTAAATTATCAAATAATATAAAGTTGCCAGCAGTGGTTTCAGAGCGAGTTTGTAATGCATCGTTAGTTTTGTAAACTTTTTCATTGCCTATAATCCTATTGCAAAATATAGCGTTATATATTTACAATTATCCTACCTTGTGTTCCATTTGATTTCACTTTATTACGTGGGATGCATTATTTTTTGCACTTATCTTCTTTGCACTTACACAAAATTCGTACTGTACATTATTCATTTTTCCTTTGTACCTTTCGCAGGTTTCCCTTTTAAAAAGACTCGTGCATGGTTGACTTGTGACATGGTGGTGTACACCTGTAATCCAACATTGTGGTAGATCGCACAAATATTTTGAAACACCCCATGGGCGTCGAGGTGCCATACCCTGGCTCTCTATGAGAAGGCAGTACAGCAAGTTGACTCATTGCCATCTGGTTCCACCTGTACGGCAATGGAGCGTTGCCCCCTCAAGATCGTGGGGTTTCTCCAGGCACCCCGGTTGTCTCCCACTTGTATAAAAGTTAATTAATTGGCTGAAAACATTTGGCTAGCCATTGAACAAAGAAGGTCACTGCATCGCGTGCTTTCAAATGCGCTTCTGCGGCCGTCGGGAACTCTCTTCGTTCAGACGTTAGGAAGCCACTGGGAGCTAAGTACTTTTGAATATAGATTAAAAACTAATTTATTTAGAACTGCCTTTTGTGTTTAGTTTGATGTCCTTCCCCTTCATCTCCGATAAGCATGGTTGCCTATGTAGGGTGCAAAAGAAGTACAGCATACACAATAAAAATCCAAATCGGGACCCTGTTGAAAAAGAGTCATACGACTGTGTGTCATTCCAGGATAGATACTTTTTTTAATCTTGTAATTAGCTTCTTCTTTTTTAAAAGAAATATACAACAGATTGGTGGTCTGTGGTCAGGGCTAACAATAGAGTGCGCCGCAAAGGGAGGGATGACACCAGGTCGTGGGCAGGGCTGTGAAAGACGGAGATGGCTTTTGGAGGCCTTTATTCAGCGGTGGATTGATCATGCCGATGACGATGGTGATCATCGGCATCATCAATCCACACTCAAGCTAACCCTGATGACACATGAAGTGGAGTTTAAAATTTTTTGCCAAACCATGAATAAAGTCTTCCTTTTATACCACATTTAAAACTATCGTTATTCGTGAATATTATTTTTTTATTTGTGGTCTTTGGGGTTTAAAGTTCATGAATGTGGATCAGGCCTATTCAATTGGTGCTATTTACTGAGCAAGCCGTTCCATTACAGTCTTTATTTTGTTCTAAATATCTCGAGCACGAGTGATTCCTTGGTATAAAGATATTCAATTACCCATCTCGATGTGTAAGTGCATTCGGCATTCACGCCATTCTCATAGCACAGAGGCTATCATTCGCACCTGATGGTTGTATGTCTCATGGTAGCCTCACATGCTGTTGTCTTCTGCTGTAGATCTTTCAGTGCACATTTTATTTTAATAAAAGGCTAAGGACGTCTGCAACAACTCAGCTGGCTTCCAATTATACGTTGCTCTGTCAATAGTCAGATCGTTTGCTTCACCTAGTGTAGTGTCGGAAAAGAACCCAGAAAATGACGATTGTGTGTTGGGAAAAATCTATGATTAAAAAAATATAAGTTAAACAATTTAAAATAAATGGGTGAATGTTTAACTAAGATCTGCTGGATCGTTGCATGTTACGCTGGGTACAGCTAGTATATTTTATTGGTTCTTTACCGTTGACTGATTATACTATACACTACGTTGAGAATACAACGCAGGACACACTTTCATTTTTTTCTCTCTCCTGATTTCGCAATGTTTAGTGAATGGGCTGACACCAACTAGATTGCCAGACATTTTCCCCTCCCATCATCTTGTCAAATGTTCCCGCTTCTTCAACGTCATATTTTTGTAACAGTAAGCAAATGGTGTCATCATTTTGTGTTGACGATGAATAACAGGAGGCCAAAACCAATACAAACATTTCATCTGACCAGCCTCTACAAAATGTGATGAATCTCTGTTGGCCACGTTTCATTTTGCAAAGGTTTATTTTTCCCCCCACTGATATTTATTCCGTATAGATGCTATGCTTTTTTTTCCTTCGCCTTTTTTGTCCTGGGGCTTGACCCAGGATCAAAGGAATTTTATTCCTGATGTCGAGTAGGGAAGGTTATCGGTAGGGTTAGGTTTGAGATTTGTTTTTTTGCTCAGAAACATACACATGTACCGTTTTTTTTATATATATAAATACAAGAGTAAATATTACTCCAAAGTTGATTACACGGATTATTCATCTTAGATTGCCATTCTATTTTTTGTGCAATTATAAAATTGTTATAACATTGTTTTCTACGCATTGGCTTACAAGCTATGCGTGCAATTCATTGCAATGCTCTTTAACCATTTGGGAGTCAACAGAGCTGGCTCATGCATGGTGACGAGCTTCAATCTGTTGTCGTTGTTGCCTCTTTGCCCTACAGACTTGCAACAACCTGCCCGTTGATGCAATAGAGATATGGAATCTCTTGACTCTTGTTTTGAGTGTGTTGTGCTTACTTTGAATGATTTAAGATTTTTTTTTTTATGAAAGCCGTATACATAAGATTAGAATCATAATATTTATTTATACTGGAGGAATCCAATGACCTATAAAGCTCTTTTTAACGGATGTCCAGTAGGGGCGGGGAAGAATGTTACACCAACAAACAATACACACACATGATCGTAGTGCAAATTACAATAAAGTAAAACACATCACCCAAAGACATACAAATAGAAATGTCATGGAGAGGCTTGTAGCTTCTGTCCATGGAGCACTTCATAAAAAAATGATTAATAGTGTCTTCGGAGAATTGACTCATGAATAAATAAATACTTTGACAAACAGGCTAAATCACCTTTTCTTCCAAAAGAATATATTTTTTTTGTCTTCACAATCGATCTGAAATACTCTCCGCAACAACGTTTTCATATCAGGGACATGCGATCGGTGGGGTAGAGTGTGGGTACGCACACCTTTTACAGGACGTGTGGCCAGCATGGACGAGTCGGCTCTATAGAGCTCCCTCTTGTGGAGCCCCTTCCGCAAGCGGTGACCTGGGAAAGAAATTGCAGGGCTGCGCCTTTACCACATCGTATACTTTACCGAGGACTGAAGCGGGCAGTTAAAAAGTCCTTATAGCTTGGAGACTGAACCAACTTTATATGAGGCCGTGGGCTTACTTTCCACAAAGTTTACAGACCGTCTGTGGGGTTTTTTTTCTCCATTTTTAAACAGCAAACGGATCTAACCAGAAGCACAGCAGAGAGAGCACAGGCATTTGGCAGCACCATCATAAAAACAAAAAGTTACATGAGCTTTTTTGAACCATTTTGGATTTTTCAAAGTTGCCCACGCCAAGGGTGATCGGTGGGCACAACTAAAGAATGGCTGCGTACCAAAAGCTTTCACTTTAAGTCTTTGGCCACACCTGGCGTAGGGAATTGAGAAAGCCTTTGACAGAGATTTTGTGTCTCCTAAATGGGCTGCTCTGCAGCTGGTGGTGTAATAACGTGGTCCTTTTCAATTTCTTTCGAAATTTAATATGCAATTCGAAAAATTCAATGTTTAAAAAAAGTCAAAATTGTCACAGCATGTGTATGCATATCCATTATTTCACTTTCAAGCTAATTATTTCCCTGCTTAAACTAGTGTAGGGTGGTGCATTTTACTGTTTACAACACTGAGAAAGTAATGTAAATTCCACATTGCCATGGCAGTGGGGGAGACTATCCTCACAAATAAATTGCTGTTGACTTTCCACAAGGTGGTACCCATTTAATGAAACCTCGATGAATGAATGGATGGTTGAGTTGACTCTGACCGGTATTTTAACTTGCAACATTCTGATTGTGAGCCATTTCCTGTTCCAATCGCATCACCCAGCTTAATTTAAGAAAATGCATATTTCATGAATACAGTAAAGTTATTCATTTTTATAAATTAGTTTCACAAGATATGCGTTTTCATTCTATAGAATTTTATTATAAAAACGACATAAATGAACTTATTACTGAATGGGGAACTGTACAAATTCTAACAAAAAATGTTTTGTATTTGGAATGTTTTTGTCACTGCCATTTATTGGTGCTGAGAATTAATTTGAAAATTGAGCTCACATGGCCATGCCATACATAACTCATAACTCATGATCCCATCATGCTCCAAGGCAAGCCCCATCACGTAATGGTAAATATTGTAACAACATAACAACATAAGCAGTCCCTCGACTCATTAAGGCAATGAAGGGAAGCTTGTGCAGATGTTTCCTTAGACTGGGCTTGTTTTCCTCTCCTACACACATCCGCAGACGGTCTGTATGTATGTATATGTATGTATGTTGAACTTCTTTCGCACCGTGCATATCCAACCGTGATAATTGGAGGTGCGGGGGAAGGACACGAAACTAATTAAAAAAGCAGTTCTAAAGAAATTAGGTTTCAATCCAGATTTAAAAGTGCATAGCTCACAGTGGCTTTCTAATATCGGAAGGAAGAGCGTTCCAGACGGCCACAGAAGCGCATCTGAAAGCGCGTGATGCAGTGACCGTCTTTGTTCAATGGCTCGACAAAGCCACTGCGAGGATGAGCGGAGTTCGCGTGACGGTTTATTGCTCCTTGACAAGGCCGTCCGGAGTTCGCGTGACGGTTTAACCTCCTTGACTTGATGGTCTGACTCTCAACCACCTCTCTTCTCCGATTGCCCACCCCCCCCCCCCCCCCCCCGTAGCCTCGTGCCCGGTCCTGTGCAGCGGGCACGGGCAGTACTGTGCGCGGGCGCTGCCTCTGCCACAGCGGCTGGAAGGGCGCGGAGTGCGACATCCCGGCGTGGCAGTGCACCAACCCGGCGTGCGGGGGCCATGGCTCCTGCATCACCGGCGTCTGTGTCTGCAATTCGGGCTACACGGGTGAAAGCTGCGAGGAAGGTGAGCTGAGCCTGTCCATCACGCCTACCGCCAAAAGTCCGCCGATAACGCCCCCACTGGATAACCTTTCAGCGAAGGAAACATTAACTCTGGCCGGCGGCGACATCCAAATTGACTCTGCTCGCTCTCGATACAATTCAGGCCTCCGTGCTAAAAGCCACGCCTGCACGTTGTAGACCTTCTCCCGGTTTTAGCTTTGCCGGCCCCACAAAGAGGCTTTTCATTCGTCGTGAATGACAAGTGCGGACAGGGCCATCGTCTCATAGCCCATTATATTTACATATCGGGGCACCGTTGCTGACCTGTACTAATACAAGGCTCACAGCAGCGTGACAGCATTGCCCGTACTCGGAAACGTTACCCTCTCTTATTCAGTCGTGCTTTGCGGTGCACATACACAGGGACGGACGCAGGAATTTGCCGTTCACAGCACATGGGGCATGTGCCGAGCTTGCCCCCTCGCCTCTGAAGCACGAGCCCTTGTCAGAGCGCAGAGGTGTGTGAGACGCGGCGTCTGTCCCTGCGCCGCTGTCTTCGGTGTGTGTTTTCTTCTCGGCCTTGGCAGACTCCGAGTAGTTGAACTTACCGTCTTGCGCACGCCAGTCGTGCCCCCCTGGGAGCATTTTTTGGACATGTTGCCCATCCGTTTGATTCGTGGACACGCGAGCACAAGGTGGGCAAGTGAACACGGGCAGGACCTGGTGGAATAGGCAAAGTAAGTGCGCAGTGTCTGTGTCACGGTCCCCGTAGTGAACAAGAGGCTACTTGCTGCTAAATAATGCACAGGGTCGGGTCTCAGGCATTGGCTGGCTCCTGTCCCACCGCTTTTCCTTACATGTGGCTGCCATCCCACCCCCATTCCAGCAAAAGACAAGAATCCCTTGCTTCGTGTACGAAAAAACGTAAACTGTGGCAGAACCAAATTAAGAGATCCATTCATTATTGAATGCTGTAGTTACTGGCACGTAACACACGGTGCACTTCCAGAATAGATCATGTTTAATTTCAACAAAATGTGGCCGTTTTGCTTTACTGTGACAGGCAAAAGCGTACTCAGAACGCGTGCTTCCTTCTTCCAATGGTCCTCAAATGTTGTTGTGCCTCACGAGAGTTGAGGAGTTGATCTGCGTACAGGAGTGAGCCATTAATTAGCGATCGCTCTCTTTCGAGCTTAGAAGATGTACGCTGTCCTTGATACACAACAAGCGTTGCCGCTTTGCACACGCCACTTGAAGGACGCCCCCCCCCCCCCCCCCATTTTGGCAACTCCCCCACTCCTTCTCGTTGAACACCGTAACGTCGAGTGAATTTGCCGACTTTATGGATGCGCCAACCTTAGGCCCCCGCATGCTGGAATGGTGCCACGGAGGCTTGGCATCATAAACATTGAGAGCCGGAATTTCGTGCCCTTGGCAGGCATCCCACAATGCCATTTAAGCGACCGAAGGTGCTGCCTGGCGGCTCACCTGATGCTCAAGGAGCTTGTTGCCGGCGGTGGAGCCCCCTTCGGAAGTAGATTACTCAAGCCCATTTCTGCGGGCCATGGCCGATGGGCACCTCTGTCGTTGGGTAAGTTGCCAACAAATGAAATCCGTTCTATAACTTCTGAGTGAAGCAGTTGACCTTTGGCACAGACACTAGGCTTATTGTAAAATTGGAGCTAAAACTTCCCTGAGCGCTCTGGGCTGTATTGCACATTTTGTGTCTTTTTGTGCGTAGGCCACTGTTCGGTTTTCCCATGTTGCTTGGAAGCAACGATGTCAAAAAAAGTCAAATTATTATTGAAGCAGTGCTCATTATCTCATGTGTTTAACCCTGAGGCAATGCTCGAAATTCCTCCCTCCTATGGCGGCAGCAAATTCTATCCAAAGGACAGCCAACAGTGGACTGCCTGGCAAAGCGGTACTCATTTTGATTGACCCCCGGAGGAATGATGAGCTGTGGCAACCCCCAACCAGAATTTGAACTTGAAACCTTCCTCTTGCGAGCCGCTCGCTCTACTGCTGAGCCACGACGACAGATCGCTAACTGGTGGAAAAAAACTACTTGACATGAAATTGTGTACCTCCTCGGGCATGCAATCTGGCTATTTTCACGACCCTCACATCCACGCCGTGAGTAGTGTGTGCCAGTGTGTTTTGTCAAAGTTGACTCCTACAAGTTGAACGCTCCATGTGCCTTTTTTTAACTTACGAAGCTTTTTCGAAGAACGTTTTATTTCCTGCGTCCTATTTACAGTTATACTGGTACGAACCTCCTGGTTCCACCAGCCCACAGGGGATTATTGTGTCCGTCCGTCCGTCGTGCATCCAAAAATGGGAGGGGTGGGGCTGGGTGGAGAGGGGAGGGTGTGGAGGGGCTGGGTGGGGAGGGTGGAGAGGGGCTGGGTGAGGAGGGGAGGGTGAGGAGGGGCTGGGTGGGGAGGGTGGGGCTGGGTGGGGGGTGGGATGGGTGGGGCTGGTGGGGAGGGGCTGGTCACCCCGTGGTGCCCTTATAAAACTCAACGTTTAACCTACTCACGCCGGCCCGTGCCCGCTCTCACAGTCGGGCATATTTGCGGAATACACCACGCCGCCGTTGACCCTGGCCATTGACCGAGCAACCCAACGTTCCTATCAGCTCCCTCCGCAGGAATGTGTTTTAACAAGCTTTACATTTCTATGAATGGCACGTAAAAAAAAATAGTGCGTATTAGGAACGGGGGGGGGGGGAAACAACTGTAACAAGACGTATCTTTCTTTGGAGCCTGCTTGCGAATTATGCAATTGATCTATGTACAGAGTGATTATGTAATCAGTGCCTTTGTGTAGTTTTGGTAGAGGGGCATTTTGTTTGGTACAGCTGTGGAGATAAGAATGGGTCTTTCTCCCGCACAATCAGTTCCATAGAGCCCAGGCTGCGATTAGATAAATGAGATGAGGAGGAGTGTAAAGACATACAATCAATGGGACGAGGGTTAGTTATAGCTGTGGGCGAGCAAAAACAAAGGAGGGTCGTTAGATAGAATGATTAGCCTGCCAAATGTGGCGAGAATTGCGTCTGTGGAGTGGTAAGATGGAGATATGGGTGGGAGGGGGTTTGGGACCTCTGTGGTTTTATCGTTGACTGCTCGCAGTGGAAGGAGTGAATTGCTGTGCGTTGAATTATGCGCGCTTGTATTTCTCACCTTTCATTAACAGCATTATAATGTCTTCTTGGTTCTTTCGGTAAAGTCACGTAGAAGGGAAATAGTAAAATAATAAAAATAAAACATAATAAAATACAATTCTCACGACGTTTCGGCCACAACGTAAGCAGCCGTCCTCAGGTGAAGAACAGGGCTGTCGGAAAGACAGCGTCCAACAGTCTTTTTCTTCACCTGAGGACGGCTGCTTGCGTTGTGGCCGAAACGTCGTGAGAATTGCTTTTTATTATGTTTAATTTTTATTAATTTATTATTTCCCTTCTACGTGACTTTACCGAAAGAACCAAGAAAATGGAATCCCTGCAGTCACGAAAGCTTTAAATCGAAGCATTATAATGCCGCTGCATCTCTTTTTATGCAAAGTGGTAAATAAATAAAAATAAAACACGTTATAAAGAAAGTTGGCGAGATTTGAATGAGGAGAGTAGTGCCGGGCAATGTTACGGCCAATTGGTCATCGTTGTAGCAAAATTGGTGACTACGTTGGATTTTCCCTCTGTACTCAATTATTTTATTAAATCTTTCTAATTGAAAAAAAAAATTACCCCCTGTTATTTAGGCTAACGCCTGCTCCCGTATTAGAAAAATGTCATTATGATTTGCGGTAAATATAAAATGCAACAATGGTATTCGATCAGCGATGCGGATGCAGAGATGGCTTTTTCTGAAGTTTCCCTTTCAAGTGGTGATTGAGCATTGATCAAACGTCAGGAATTAAAATTGGATGTTATGGATTTAAGTAGAAAATATGTGTTATTTTCCTTTTTGATGATGATAATTAGATATTCCCATGATGGATCCAAGCCCAACATTCATTAAGCTGCGAGCTATTTTTGTTCTCTCGGGCACCGAGCAGTGCTGGGACTATCTGACGATGCCAGGTCCGGTCAGAAATGAGCACAAAATCCCAGGCCTATAACATTATGATGATGCATGTGCAATAAAAGTGCACACACTGCATTACATACGGCAATATTCTATATAGCCCAGGGCATGCCTAGAAAACACAGTGGTATTGGTGTATTTCGTTTTTTTTACCCAACGACAGAAAGTGATGTAAAAAGTATAGCTTATATCGAAATATATTTTTCTCACCAAGTATTTGTTGTTTCTAGGCTTTAAATAATATACTTTGTCTCTGGACTGCTCAGAAAATTCTGCCGATCTCCAGCATGCATTATAGATTTGAGTTGGTGGAATTCTGAACACTTCCCATTGTTCAGAAGATTCTAATTTTGCAGCACACGCCGTCTCGTTTGTGCTGAGCATGAAGGCGCTCTTGTCCTGCTATGCTCCCGTGTCTCGTGTTCTTTATCTCACTGTGAATACACAGCAGGGTCATCAGTGAATTAAGTATCGACAACTTGATAAGCAACGAGATTGCAGATCAGCACCTTTTCCCACCAGGCTTTCATTATGGATGGAAGAGGAAGATTTGCGGTTGTGTTATCACATAGATACATTTTAATTATTATTTCCATCAGGGTGTCTATACAACAAATCATATGTGCAGTCATATAACATTGTCTAAATATATATGAAATGATTCTCAACGTTGTTGGATATTCAAACTCTGAGAGAAGATGAATCTCCCGATGTTGCGATTTAAAAAAAATCTCCACCTAATATAAAACATTTTTTGGAGTGACTCCCATGATGTGGATTAAAAAAAGTATCAGCGTTTCAACACATTTAAAGTCAAGTGTTAAACCAGTATATAGACTTATATATACATCACCCGTAATATTTAGAGATCAAAAACGTACAATTTAACCCAGGACACTGTTGCGAAAAAGGTCGTGTTCATGTTGTCTTCATGGGTTTTTATCCACCTCCTGGTGAAATTAAAGTTTGCCACTGCAGCTGCAGTGCTGTTGCCATGGTGTCATGCTTATCACACTGCACTTGCAATTGGCTGGATCATTCTCCCAGCACGGCAAGTTTCTTAAATCCCCCAATCTTTGTTCACCGAGTAGCAAAAATGGGTACAGCCACAGTTAGTCGATTGGCAGGTCGTGTGTGGTGGGGTAAGTGTGGGTCCTCACGACGGTTCCAAAAAGTATGCCCAGTGTGGAAGAGTAGGCCAAAAATACCCTCTAGAGGTGCTCTCTAGAGCTCCTCGTAGTAGAGGCCCTTTCGGCCAGTCGTGGCATTAGCAAGCAAATTGCAGGACTGTAACTTTATATTTCATCCATAATACAGGAACCTACTCACGTGATGCGCCTACTCACCGTGACCTCTCTCTCTCTGCTCCCGTCTCTCCTGTGACCTCCGACCCCTCTCTTGCAGTGATGTGTCCACATCCAACGTGCTCCGGCAAAGGGGTGTGCGTCCATGGGACGTGCATCTGCCTGTCGGGCTGGGGAGGCCCCAGCTGTGAGACCCGCAAGCCGATGTGCGCCGAGCAGTGCTCAGGACACGGCCTCTACCTGTCGGAACTCAACACGTGCAGCTGTGATGCCAGATTCACGGGCGCCGACTGCTCGACTGGTAAGCTTTTCGTATCACGGGCGGATGTGCACTCGCCGCTTCGAGCACAGGTTGCCCGTGAGGTGTCCAAATTTGGTAAGTGCCCTCTGGTCTACAAAGTAGAGGGCAAACACTTTCCCACCCGCTCTGCATACGTCACGTGCCAGTCAGGCCGATATCAAGTTCAAGTTCATTTATTAGGTATAGCCCTGTGAGCCATTCGGCTCTTGAATCGGGTGCAACCGCAACAAACAAAAAAAACATGAACAAAAAACATATTTATTCATCAGAGCAAAAAAATCTTGCCAAATTAAGCGCATAACCAAATTTAACGTGATATACTTTTTTGCGTGTGTGCATTCATTAGTGACTGCGCTGGAGCCATCAATTCACGACTCTTTAATCACCAGGCGGCCATCTGGATTAGAACACAAAATCTAAGTGGCGCCAGTTCGGCGCTCTGACCTCTGAGACACCCTCGCTGCACCGCAAGTTGTGAGATCTCCTTTGAGCTGGCTGGGTGGGGGGGGGGAGGAACTCATGGCCCATGAATTAATTTAAAACTGCTCACCATATGAGGCTTACCACTTTTAAATGGCACTCAAATTAAACTGATCCATCGCGGCATCTTTGCCGCGTCTTTACTTCCGCACCGTGGCTTCGTATATGTATACACATATGTTGAACTTCTTTCGCACCACTCGACATCAGTGTGCTAGTGAGAGGGGAGAGCAGCTGATGCAGACATCGCATTCGTGCTCTAAGGTGAGAGCCTTCGTTGTTTTTGTTGCGTTATTATTTGATAACATTCAGGCTTGTGTTCATCATGTGTGGCCTGCCAAAGGTATTTGAGAGTCCTATTCAGCCCTCAGTAAAAGGCTCCCCCCACAATCCTGCTATGGAGAATTTTTATTAGGGAATTAGTGCAGGTTCAAGGTTTGGCTCTGCCATGCTCGACAAACCCACACGCTCATCATACTTGATCCAGCGGTTTCGTAACACTTTTTGTACATCTGCTTTCTAGGAAAGGGCAGCATAGGCGAGAAGCGCTGCATTTGAACAAGCGTGCACGTGCCGTGCAGCATCCCCCTCGGGTCACTCATTGTACCTCCAGCCCTCGTCAAAGTACCATGCTGTGTGCAGTTCTTCCATTATAAGGCCATCACTGTCCGTCCGTAGACAAACCCGTTACTCTACTGTTGAAAAAAAAAACACATTACAGCCCTCTACCTAAAGAGGCCCCATACTGTGCATCGGCATGAGTTGATGTTATGGAGAAGGAATCATCTCCAGGAGCGTAAAAGGATCGCCTCTAAAACAGCTCGAGTCATCCTCTGACCGCGATGGTTGCCGGAGTGTTGGCGCACAGTTTCCCCGTGCAAGGACTCCTGCTGTACTCCCGATGGGAAAATTCCTCCGGCACACTGAGTTCTGTAAATCTCTGTGCCGACCAGGAATTTTGTTTTTTTTTGTTTTTCACATCTCTCCAATGCAACACCTCAGAGTCAAACTCAAGTCAGGGTTGGCTGCGTACCATGCGAAAGAAGTTCAGCGTACGTGCGTACAACTTTAAAACTGCCTTTTATGAAATAAAATGCAAATTGCATTTGTTTTATTTTCGAGTGCTTACATGCACATAAGAGTGGCTTCACTGACTCAAAAACCAGAGGGGAATGGGGAAGAGGTAAGAGGCATAGCATCAGGAGGAGGAGAGGGGCAGTGATTAGCATGCTGCACTATGAAATAGCAACCTGAGTTTGATTCCTGACCACGGCTAACATTTGTAGCAAGTGATATCTGAATCGGTCCTCCTTTACCAACCCACACTGACCAACGTTGATAAAGTACGGTCAAGGCACTGAGAGGCCTTTGCCCAGCTTTGGATTGATAAAGGGCTGAAAATTATTGTTTAATTTACGATTTTATAGGGTGGGGAGACTGGATTGTTAAACCTGTAGGAAGTAGGGGCCTACTGCTCATGATGGTGCTGTTTGTCCCCAGTACGTCTGGCGAAAAAAGTGTTTCGATGGTAGGTAAATGGATCACATCAAATTCTGGTAATTGCTGTTAAATATTAAACAGCGGATAATTGATTCGTTTGTGTTTTGCTATGAGTGTTTTTGGTAATTAGATACTTAGATACCAATTTGGGAATTTTGTCAATTCGCTTTAAAAAGTCCATCTATGGCATATGGTTCAGAAACATGGTCGATAATTAAATATCTCACAAAAATGGACATGTGCGCAAAGAGGCATGGAGAGATACTTTCTTGGAATTGTATATCGAGACAGAAATAAGAACACGTGAGTTAGAGAATATACTATACGCGAGTTAATACATATCTCAAACGTGTATGTGTTTAGAATGTAATTGAGCTTGGGCCCGACACTTCGCTAAAAGGATTGATGGCAGATAGCCAAGAATAATGATGGGGTGGCAGCTAATGATTGGAATGCATTTGAGAAAAATGCTGCCCAAAGAGATGGAGCAATGATATCAGCTCTTGTCCAGGTGAAAGGTGGATTATTATATTACCGGATCATAAGAGACGGCAGTGGGATTGGGAAGGCCTTTCTCCAGCAGTAAATTGACCATGGCTGATGATATTGTTGTTATAACGTTCTGACCCGCGCCTCTTGGATATCTGTGGACATAGTTTTATAGCTCATTGGATTCCTCCAGTATAAATATCCTGGTTCTGAATGATGATAACGAGGTTTCTAAACATTGCCCCGAAGAGTTAAAGCATGCTTTTCTACTATCTGAGTACAGTATAATGCTTTTCATTGGCTTTCATAACTGGGGAAAACATAGACTATCTGGAAATACAACTTGAAATACCCTCTCAACGTTCACCTGTTCAGAGTGTGTGTGGGTACACTAATGGCACGGGAGCCTGAGTAGTGTAGTCTGTCATCAGGCCTGACATCGCTCAATGTCAGAGAGCCTCACTCTCACGAAAAGGCCACAGTGTCACATCAGCATATTGCTTACCGGACATGGCGGAAACCCACGGTCTGTAGGCCTCTATTTTCGCCTTTCATTTGTCCATCCATTATGAGATGTTTGATCAGCAAATGTCTTCCTTTACGTGCATATGCCGATTACGTACCTGCGATCCAAACTTGTCCATAAGAAGCGATTTTAATTCTCAGATCGCAAGACGTGTCGACACGTGTTAGTGCACCCATGCATACGATTTTAAAAATAAACGTGTTTGCGCCCTTGTTGCCTATTAAACGGCAGCGATTTGAAAGCTTCAGTCGCCGTGTAAAGTAATAGCATATGAGAAATGTGATGCATGTTATTGGGTGGAAATGCCACTCTATGTGACAGGCATGCTGTGGTGTTGCCACAGGCATTGAAAACAGCTTTGATGTTCTGCTCTGGCTCTGGAGAATGTTGCGTTTCCTCAATGCAGGTTACAATGTTGACGCCGTGAGAACGCTGTTGTTTTTGCTGCAACGAAAGCATGCCCTTGTTGTGGGCTCTTCCCTTCGGTGATCACACTGGTGGCCATTGTTATCAAAATGGTGAAAACAGCACCACGGGTTTGCGAGGAAGTACAAATCACATGCACTCAAAAAAAGGGAAACTTTTGGGATATTGCAAAAAACTTAGATTTTTTCATGCGTAAAAAAAAAAACCTACGGATTTTGTGATGACTGAGCCCCAAGGCAGTAAGAAATCACAGGCCCTAATTATAAGTTTCATAAATGAGCTCTCCGATTAGGGTCATGCTGAGCAGCAGCTGATGTTTTTTACCGCTTTGCTGGTCTGGAGCTGCACAGACCACACAGGCTACACTGCATACATATTAGGCAGACCAAAGGAAATGTTTGGAAGCACTTCGTTTTTCCAAAAAAAAATAGAAGTGGTCGTTTCATAAGTAATTGTTTCAATGAATTGTATCTATGTAAATAAATGTTAGAAATGTGTAGACTTTATATTTTAAAAAAGAAAAGTCAAAAAATGGTTTGATACTATTATCCGTGAGGGTCTTGTACTCACCATACAAACCACATGTGTCTAATGGGCGTTTCAGTACAACATATCACAGTCATCTTTTGTTCAATATAACATTGAAATTCCCATGCAATTTTTTTCTGAAACTTAAGTGTAATACAAAGGTTATTAGCAACTTGCAGTACACTTCCAAAATTGCTGGTACGGTGTTGCATAGCCCTAGTTCTGTATAGGAGACAGCATATGCTACATGTATAGTATATAATATAAATAATATACACAAAAACAAACTTTAGAGGGTATTTGGTCTACTCTTCTACATTGACCAGACGTGTTTTAAGAGGTGAGAAAAAAAAACATTTTATACTATATATATACTTATAGATGTGTGTGTGTGTACGTAGTCCCTGCGTTGCGGGGAGCAGTAGTGTAGCGGTTAGTGCGCCGCGCTATGAAACCAGCAACCCGAGTTCGATTCCCGCTCATGGCCAACACCAGTGACCATTATCTGAACTGGTCCTAGGCCTCCCTTAGTTCGACTCAGCCTCAACTGACTACATAGTGTGATGTGTAAACATCTCCACTGGGGAGACAAAGGCGGCCGGGCGTGGTGCTGGCCACCCACCCCCTCGTGCGCCGTGCCAGGCCTTCATAGGTGCTCGCTAACAGCACTTGCTCCAACAGTCTGTTATAGTCACGTAGGTTAAAAAAGTTAAATAAAAATAAAATAAAAATAACGACGTTTCGGAGGCAACACAAGCTTCCGTCTTCAGGTGGAACAGTCACAGCACGATAGCTGTATCAAGTGAGTAATTTTACCGAAAAAACCTAAAGATATGAATTCTTGCAGTCACGAAAGCTTCAAATCTAGAAGTCTGTTATAGGCTATACGGAGGTCTTTGCAGCAAATCTCCTAAGAATTCTGCAGTGAGTTCAACGCGGGGTGCCCATATGTATGACCCGAGGTCGACTTGGAGCCTCTTCCACCTGACCACTTCCGTCGACGTCGAGCCCTGCACGCAACTCCGTTTTACTCCACCCCTCCGAGGAAAGA